TAGCTGAAAGCTAGCTGATATATCATTTATGAAATTATGTTTTAAATTGTCAGTGAATTAAATAGTTGATATCTTCTAATAACATGATAGAATCATACCATCCTAATTCCAAAAAGCCGGTTTCTGTTCGAGACGATGGGGCTGCGAAATGGAATACGGAGGCAGCGCCATGACATGTTATTTTTTATTTGTTATTTGTTGTGAATGCATTTATTTCTTTGGAGGAGTTGAAACTTAAGAGATCGAGAAATGGAGTAATAGTGGATCTAAATTTTTTGGGGTAGATCAGTGGTTTGTTTGAGCTAGATTTTTTGTAATATTTTTTAGATCTAGTTAGGAAGAAAGGATTTTTTTTTTTTTTATGTTATATTGGCGTTGGGGCTGGTGTTAGAACAAAATTTTTGTTAAAGTTGATGCAATCAACTAAACCCAACTATTTTTTTTTATTGAAATTTATTTATTGTAATGATATAGTTTATCTTATAAAAATGTTGTGATTCACAGGAATAAATGGAGGACAAATTCTGAATTTTTTTTGTAAAAAACTTCTGTTATTAGAGAAGCATTAAGATTAAATATAATTTTGAATAGGGGGTGATGCGTATTTTGAATTTATTTATTGTAGTAATACTAGGCATTCTAGTCATAAGTTTCGAGTAGAAATTAATAAGAAAGTCTTAATTAATAATTATGTATATTGACAATGCGATTGCTTGGGTTTTCTTAGTGAAACGTAGAAGTTCAATAATGAGTGGTCGAGGAGCATTGTTCATGTTAATGTATGGAGGTGAATTACAAGTGGATGTGAATTTCTCGTCATCTTATTATGGGGTTAGAAATCGTCCTCTGCAAGTGCCAAGAAATATTAACTTAAAGCAGCTTAAATTGAGGATTCTCATAGCACTCAAGTACGATACATTAAAGTTTTTTGTCAACTTAGTTTGTCGAGTGTTTGTGGGAAATGAGTTCGTCGCTTCACATGTTGAGGATAACAAGGTTTGTGAAGTTGTATTATGCCAAGCTACTGCGATATTTCTCATCATGTACGTTGAAGATGAAGAAATAAATTTGATGCGAGTTAATACGGAGCCTCCAAATTTACAAATATATGAATCTTTGAACCAAGGTAAAAGGGTAAAAGGGTTAAAGTACTTGCAAATCCTTCAAGGCTAGAACCAGATGAAGAGCCTACTAAGCAGTGAGTTGTATATATTGTATAATACTAATTGTCAAATATATTAAATTTTTATTAATTAATAATTCAAGAAGAATGTTTTGAATGTAGTGACATAGAGAACCAACATACACAAGAAGCACTTGTCCCGGCTACACCATCGATCCCTTCTGATCATTATAGTTATGAGACTATGAGTAGTGGCTCTAGGGAGCGGTATTCTGATGATGAGGATGATCTTTTGTCATAGTTGAATGATAGAGTTGCAGTTGATAATGAAGATATTCGTAATGTCATCCAAGATTACTACTTTAGATCAATCAACGTTGAGGACGCAATGGTGTCCAATAATAACTATGTCGACACATGTATGTAGGACTATTCAACAATGGGATCAGAAAGCTGAATTCGAGGATGTCCTTAACAAGGTGATTGTGAAGGATGATTTCTTGATTCCTACCGAATTAATTGAAGGAATGTACTTCACAAGAAAGGCTGATATGTAATTTGCTTTACAGGGATGGTCTATCATAAATATTGTTTAATATGTTGTCATCACATCAAATCTAAAAAAATTTACAGTTGCATGTGCAAAGCATGACTGCTCCGTACGTATCTCCTTGCTTATGGAAATTGTATTCTGCTCAAAGTAAATGCTAAGGTGGTATATAAAAAAATCTCATCTATCAAGTACCAACGTGTACATGCGTCACTCCAATTCTTGAAAGTGGGCACCATCAGAGCAATTCGCAGTTTATAATTTCCTACATACTAGCCACAATTAGAAAAGATATGGACTTGAGGCCGGCCGAGGTAATAATTGGTCGAATGGAAGAAAAATTCAACATAAAAGTTCATACATTAAGGCTTGAGATGCTCGACAGAAGGCTATTAAGGCTATTTTTGGCAGTTTAGTGAAGTAACAAGGCCTAGTAGGGCCAACATAGATGGATGCATACACTTGTTATAAATTTAGTCTTGGGAGAACCTTCATGTTGGTCGGCCAGCACTTCGTGTGCACTTTCTAGTACAGCTTGATGGTATGAGTGTTGGGTGTAGGTATGAACTTAAGTTAAGTGTTTTTTTTTTCTAATATGACATGCATATATGTTCCAATCATCTGAGATTTATTTGGAATAGGTGGGATGAGGATCAGCTCTGAGAATTGCCCATGGATAACATTATTAGGTGTAGGGATGAGCTGGATGATCTATTTGATAGCTAGATATTGTTTGAATTTTAATACTACTTTATTTCCTTCATTTTTTTAAGCAAACAAAGTAAATATAGAATGCACAAGTCATTTGATAATTGTACACATAGGATATTCATGCTTAGGTTTAACACATATGTCATGGTAGGGAAAGATATCTGGACTGCAAGAGTACATGTGATTAGTTGAAAGAGATAGAGTTCTATGACAATTCGACTTATACCTTACTACTGATGTCATACCTATGAAGTCTTGCTTTAAAAGAGTAGATGGTTGTGGGAATTCAGACATGGATTGGATGTTATATCACCAGACCCACATTTCATATGAGAGAGCAGGAGAGGAAACATAGTTACCGGCGAGCATCTTGGTGAGGACAGTGACTATGTTGTGCATCAGTACTTACAATAGCACAAGTCATGGGCCACATTGTACATATTGAAGGCACCTGTTGAGCCTCCGACCATGTCATACCCTAGAGCTCCTTCAGAGTGCCTTCTAGTACATAAATAAGAAACCTAGCATCAAGTTCCTAGACCCTTAATTGCAAAATTATTGAATAAGTTATGTTGTTATTACAGAGGGACTTCTTCTTTGATATTGAGCTCACATAAGAAGTTAAAATCTAAGGAACTGAATCAACCTGCTTGATGAAGTTAGAGAAATAAGAGAGAAAAGAGGCCGTACCTTCTATACGAGACCAAAGAACTTTGGATTTTAATAAAGATCAGGACAACAAGTAAGAAAACAAAGAAAGAGCAATTTCACAAGAAAACGACAATGAGTTGTGAACAAAAGGCTTGTGGGTTCGAACGATTGATGACGACGGAAGGCAGGCGGGTTCGCACACGAGCAGCAGCATTCTACGTCTGTACGCGAAGATAAAACATTGCAAAGGCGGGCTTGTGTAAAGAAGGCGGCCTCCATAGGGAATACGATTGAGAAAGAGTGGAATACGAAAAGTTGCTAAATATACCGTTGGATTCAGTAGTTAGATTTAAGGGGGATTTAGATATATACCACTTTATATCATGCAATTTATATATCTAATACCTAAAATTTTAATATTATATTCATGTCATTCATATAAAATTTTAATATCAAATATATCTTATGTTTTATTTTTATCACATATACCATCCCCTATAAATTTTAATATTTCATTTCATACATCCATATTTGTTCTATGGATGGTATGTATGTAATATTAAAATCTTAGATGTTAGATATGTAAATAGCATGAAACAAAATGATATGTATGTAAATCTCCCATTTAATTATGGGAGCAAGTACAAGTAGCTTTTATATACTAGTATTGATTTATGCATTATCAGCTATTTTTATTTTTTAAATAAATCAAATTATTTAAAAAAACTCATAATCATCTTAGTATTTAAATATTTTTTTTAAAACACCTATCATCATCGGCCACTAGCAGTGTACGTGATTCATGACGGTTGGTGAGCTAGTTCAAGCTCGACTCAATAAATGGCTTGTGAGCCGAGCCTGAGAGCTAATGAGTCAAATTTGAGCCAGCCCTGACTCGACTTGTTAGCTCGTGAGCCAACTCATTTAAAAAATACTAACAAAAAATACACTTAAAATATGTTAGCATTCAAAATTTTAATTATAAAATTACTTAAAATTAAAAATTATGTTGGGGTCTGTGAAGTAAATCACCGCAACGAAACATATAAGAAAATAGAAATACAACGGAAAGTAAAGAATGCCAGGATTTAACGTGAAAAAACCTAAAACTAGGAAAAAAATTATAGAGTCGCACCACACCAAGAAATTAATCCACTATAAAATTTGAGAGAAATTTGTACATTTATCTCTTCTCTCTCTCTTATTGTTTCTCTTCTTTTTTACACCATTCTTACATAAGAACAAACAAAGAGATGCACAAAATCAACAAGAACGTCACCCATAAGAAAAAATGAGAAAGAAAAACTACCTAGTCTGCCTCGCAAGGGAGCAAAGCTAGTTTGGAGCACCGCGGAGCTCATCGCTCTATCTCAAGTCTGTCTGACAATGCCGCAACGTCGTATGTGGAGTGTTGCAGCACTTCGCTCTCTATCTTTTCTTCAAGCAAGCTATGCAGTGTCGAGGCGCTTAGGTAGATAGCGTCGGGGCACTCCCAAGTAGAGGAGGACCCAACCCCCGTAGCACGACAAACTAAGTTGAGGTCCTTGACAACAATAGATCCCTATTAATCAACATAATCATATTCCACACAGACTAACCAATCATATCACGTATTCTTATATTAAATTGCTTTAAGATATAAAGTATGCTATAAATAGAAATAAAATACAACAATAACAACAATAATATCAACTCTTTATCTCATTATGATCAGGTCAGAAAATTGAAATTAATAAAATAAAAAAATAAATGATCCCACAAAACCCCTCAATTGACAAATCAGGATTTATCCCGCACTAACAGAACAAACGGTTTTGCTGGAGGAAAGGAACTCCAAATCCATCTTTCAAAACCACCCGCTTCATTAAAAATAAGCAACTGTTAGGAAAAAAAAAACAATCTTAATATGCTTGTAACAGAAACCAAGCAAAAATAATCCTTTTTATCTTCAGTTCAGTTGGGGAGATGAAACCAGCCTCGCAGCCCTCCACCTCTTCCTACCTCCAACTCCCTTTATTGTAGCAAAAGAAAGAAGAGAGAAAGATAGAGAGAGAATTAGAAGGAAGTGAGTAAGGCAAAGAGGAGAAAACCTTTATCCAATATATGGCTCAAAGCCATTTCCTATTGTTCCTTCTCCTTGGAAGCCTGTGTGCTCTCCTACTTAGAGTCTCCTACGCACATAAAGACCATGTAGTAGGTGGAGGATTTGGCTGGAAGATCCCTCCTAATGCTACTTTCTACAAGGAATGGGCTGCAACTAAGACCTTTGTAGTTGGCGACAAGCTCGGTAGGTTTTCATCTCTCTGCAGCTTGAGGGCAAATTATTAGGTCCGGTCACCCGATCTAACTTTTCGTTCGGATTCCGTACGCATTTATTGTGCTTTTGATGTATTTTTGAAAAAGAGCAGCTTATACATAATTTTAACTATATATTTACTGCTCTTTTGTTGTCCTTTTACTGAGTACTTGAAAAGAGCAGCAAAAACATAGCAAAATGACAGCAAATACTAAATGAGTAAGATATTTGTTATGCTTTTACTGTGCTTTTGCTATATTTTTGCAAATACTCAACAAAAAGCAGCTAAAATGAAATTAAAATTACGTATTAGCTGCTTTTTTTCAAAAATACATCAAAAGTGCAGTAAAAGCGCACTAAAAGTGCACGAAATCCGGACGAAAATTTAGGTCCAGTAACCGGACCTAATAATTTGCCCAGCTTGAGGAGTAATTATTGTGTCTGAATACCGAACGTGTCCAGAGACCAATAACAAAGCACCACGTCACTTGATCGCTTGGTACCGTGCTCGATACAGCACTCAATATGACTTGATATTTGTCCGGATTTTTTATAATTTGTCCTGACATAATAAGTTTTCCAGCTTGGGAGAGATTTTTCCTTTTTCTGTCAGTTCAATTCTTAAGAAGTATCATAATATATATTGTACCAAATAAATTTGTTTTCGCAGTGTTCCTGTACAGGACAAGCGCAGAGAACGTTCTCGAAGTATCCGCCCAAGACTACGAGGATTGCGGCAATGGCGATATCATTGAAATTTATTACCGAGGCCCCAGCACCGTTCAGCTCAGCACTCCGGGCCGACACTTCTTCTACTCCGGCATCGGCCTCCACTGCGAGGCCGGCCAGAAGCTCGCAGTCAACGTCGTCACAACCGCGCCGCCGCCACCTTTCGTCGCCGACGACTCCCTCTACTCAATCGGCGGCCTCGAAATCTTCACCTCACCCGAGCCGTCGCCGCTGAGGGCGACTGCGTCGGCTTCGTTGGCTGATACGCGCCGGTATGTTGCTCCGGCGGTGGCTGCGGCTCTGTTTGGCGGTTACTTGTTGGAAGAGTTAGGAATGTGAGGTGGAGTGGATGACTGGATGAGGAAATGCTAATTGTTTGATGTGGACGTTTTGTTTAAGTTAGTTTTGGTAGGTTTATTGTTTTCCTTGGAAGGGGATAATAATTAAATAATATATATTAATTTTGTTACCAATATATTCAAGGGGATTGTTTTAAAAAATTATATTAAAATATTCTCTTGTATTTTTACATCAAAGATTATTAATTTCTTGACATGTCCTTTATTTGGCATTTTATAAATTGTTTTTTCATTGAATAATATAATTAAATCAGTAGATATTTTATAATATTTTTATAGTGAATATATTTTAAATATTTAATAATTTAATTGTAATGTTTAAGAATTTAGATATATTTGTCTAATATTTTAGATAAACTCCTTTCAGATCAATTCTGAAGAGGATAAAGCTATCATTATCCTCCTATGAGCAAAATAGCTGACAGGCTTGGCAAGGCTGAAGTTGCATACAATTCTATCTAGTTATTCATTCGCTTACAGACTTTTATCTAGTTATTCATTCGCTTAGTTCTTCTCTAAGGTCATCTCCAACCGAACACCAAACCAGCTTATGCCGTCCATCGGTCGCTCCAACCGAACGCAAAAATTTCCGTCATTTACTTGCAAGTGAACAGTGCGACGCCAATATTAGCGTCGCACTGTTCACCCATGCCATTTTACTCTCTCAACCGATAAAACGCGCGAAAGGGAGAAGATCGTTACCTCCCGAAAAACACCTAAAATGACGTTCGATTGGAGCAGCACCACGCCATTTTCAAGTTCTACTTTATTTTGCCGTAAAATTTGGAGTTCTCCGTTGGAGATGCCCTAAGAATAGTCGTATCAAACAAATAGAGCAAGCTCTTGCTAAGAAATATAAAGGATGAGCCCAAAATAAAAGAGATTTTTACATGTATAATCCGGACATAAATAATCATTCAATTTAATTAAAGTTACTATTCACCACTACATTTTTACTTTACTTTCGCTAATTACAATCACAAAATAAAATGGTTCTCTACGTCCAAACTCCGCACATAATAATCTCCCAAAACAGAGGCTCTTGTCACCAATCCCTTGGTATAACTCAAGTGTTATGTCGCGCATGATGCACAATAAGAACTCGTTTGATACAGCTACAACTAGTTATAAAGTTATCTAACTGATGTGAAGAAAAAATAAATAAATAAAATAGCATAAAAAACCAAAATTTCACAACACTGAAATGTATAATATAATTTCAAGAAAAAGCCAAACATTTTGCTCAGTACTATAATAAATCTGATTATGAACAATTCTCTCCACAAATACTTGTAAAAAAAGAACCAAAAGAATTATAGCCAACTGATTGTTATCTGAACAAAAAAACTATTTAAAAAACTATCACGTTGAAAATTTCGGTGTGCAGGGAACGAGGCCCAAAAACAGACCCAGTGAATATTCCAATCAAATAGATATCAAGGCCGAACACAAAATGACATCCAGAGATTAACCAGAATGCGCCACATCAACAGTAATGAGCGATACCAAGCCACGGTACAGAGCGATACAGAGCACCGAGTCACGATACCAAGGAGGTGACACGACGCATTCTGATTGATCTCTAGACAACGTTTGGCGTCCGCACAGACTAATTTTTCTAGAATAGAAGATGGTCTATATAGCTTCATGACTCCACATGACATATTGGGCAATTCAAAGAAATAACAAGACACTATATGCTTTCTTTTACCTGTCGGCTTAGAACCCTAACATAACAAGATAAAACTTTTAATGCAATAGTTTCCAATACACAGCACATGCAAAGCAACAACAGGATCTATAATTCAAGACTCCATTTAAACAATTACCAATGAAGATGGAATATCTTCACCTCCTACATACTACAGAGGCAATTTGGGCTTTCCTATTCAGGGAGAATAATAACATGACCACTTTCTTACATTCATGCATATAAGTAATACAATGACATGCCAAATTAATATAACAGGGCAGAAAAAAGCCACAATGAATCCCGGACTTTGAAGCAAACCGCTAGCCCATTGCGTATTTCTGAGTCCAGCTCCTTGCGGTGCTCTCATACTTGGCCCTGTCTGTTTTGTACATATGCGCAATCTCCGGGACCAAGGGATCATCTGGGTTTGGGTCCGTCAATAAGGAGCAGATGGAGAGTAGAACCTAACAAAGGAAATAGCAAAACACCATCAAATTTGCGCAAAATCATGAAAGAGAAAGACTATGATAAACAAATATGCCAGTGATGCATGTTCTACAGACGTCCAACTCCAAAGTTTCAGCATTTCTACGACTTCCAGAAGCCTCGTTGGTGCGGATCCCGGGTGGCATCCGAGGACGAATGAGAGTGCGCCACGTCATTGGTTTGATGTGTATTGGTGTTGTATAATGATGTGTACCAGGTGACGTAGCGCGCTCTCATTCGTCTCTGGATGGTCCGGTGTCCGCACAGAATAATTTCTCCATTACAAGACCAAGTGCTCCTTTTTTTTCCATTTATAGAACCAGTGTGGGATTACCAAGTGCTCCTAGATACAGCGCATATACATAGGAACAATGTCACCAGATGTCTAAAGTTGATTGATGCTCGATGAGGTCGCATTGAGATATGAAGAAAAATTATATCTCCAAGTTCTCTACCACCCTCTACCTAACATCTAAAAAACGTTACCTATCAGTCTTTACCTTACCTACACAAATTGTTTATCTACCACCCTCTACCTAACATCTACAAGCATATATTATCTACTACCATCAACCTAATTTATACAAGTTTATTATAAACCAAGTATCATAAAAAAGATGGTTCAATGTGTGTTGAAAGGCATCCACTCATTTTACACTTACATTTAGTTCGAGAAAGAGCACGGAGTGGCGGTCAATCAAGTGATCAGAGACTAAGGCTTCATTTGGGACTGCTTTCTTATTGCTTTGTTTTTAGAAGAAATTATTAAGTGCGGAGTGTGGAGGACGTCCGGAGACCAATAAAAATATGTCACGTCACCTTATTTTTAGACAGCAGCAATAATGTCTATTTGGTTGTTGCTTTTTTGTTGCTTTAAAAAAAATTATACTAAAAACATGCTTTCTATAACATATTCAATAACTTACTTTCACTACATCACTTTTACAAAGCAGCAAGAAAGCCATCCTAAATGAAGCCTAAGGGGTCCTCAACTATTGAAGAGTTGAAGAGGATAGTTAGAAGTCGTAGGGCTTCTCAATATTAAATTAGCAAAATCATAGGAATAATGACTGATAAAGTAGTCTAACATATGAGAAGACTTATGAGAATAGTCAGCGGAAGAATCATATTCAAATTTGGAGAGAAAATAAGTGTGGGATAAATAATACTAATGAGATAAAGTTGAAAATATTTAATGTTAAATATTTGTATCATGTTTTTGCCTCTTAACGAGTGGACATTTTTCTTTGTATCGCTGTCAACTTAAGTGGAACTTGTTAAACCATATAAACTCTCGTGTTCTTTTATTGGTGTTCTTGCAAACTACTTTTTTTATTCTCGAGACAGTAATCAAAGACAAGTTTTTACCTACAAACTAGTGGCAGTGCTAGGAAAAATTTTGGAGTTTACAGAAAAATATTAGTAATGACATATGAAGATGGGGAAGCTAGCATCATTTGGTATGATGGCAACTACTTCGGGCACTGAAAGCTATAGATAGATGATTACAATACCAAATAAATAAATAAAAATTACATCCATCTCCTTGAAGTCAAAGCCAACAACTATGAGCCAAGAATTCCAAGATCTCTTGGATAGACAAGCATTAGGAATTGAATGCTTCACAAATAAAGAATGCTGCCTTAAGCATATTGCAAGAGAGTGTCCTATAGCTAGGGTGATGAAAGCTCTGTCAAACATGTACGGGAAGGCTTCAACAACAAATAAGATATATCTAATAATAAATTTTTTAACCTCGAGTTTGCTCAAGGCACTTTTGTGGTGACGCATATCAATGAGTTCAATCTGATCCCAACAGTTGAGCTCGATTACTATCAACTTTGATGATGAAGCTAGTTCATTGAGCTTATTTTCATCACAGGTCGCAACCAAAAAGTTGGGTTGAAATAATGACAACAGTCAATAATTCGTCTGAGATTATGAAGTTAAAGCTCAATGGTATGTGAAATGATCCTAAATGGGACGTCAAGAGATGAGAATCAGGTGAAGGCCCTTCTATTGTTCTGAAACTTGAAAGAAGAAGAAGAAGAAGTGCATGAAGAGACAAGAAGGGAGGTAGATTTGAATCTTTGAAGAGGAGACAATCAAAATGTCATGTTAGTGAATGTTGGCGATTTAGCGAAACTAACTACATGAAAAGAGACTATCCACAAAGGAATGGTGGATGCAATTTGAATTAAATGATGAATTTAAGAATGTTGTAAAGTGAAGAGATTGCAAAAAGATTCAACTTGTGCATGGTGAACTCTTAAATATTAAGGGAGTTGGTGATGTAAAAATCAAGACTGATAATAGGACAATATAGAAGATTCACAATGTAAGGCATGCTCCTGGTTTGAAAAGGGATTTGATCTTGATTGAGCACTTCAATGAAAAATACAATCTCAACCTTTCATGTTGATGCGAGTATTGCAATGTAACCAAGGCTGTTATGGTTATAGCACATCGAAGGAAGATATCATATATATGATGTCAAACACGAGCATAGTGGGAGCAACTGTTAAATCTAGAGTTATTCTTGCAATGCAAAATAAAATTTATATCAAGTGGAAGCTTCCATAAAATTGATGGGCATTGAAAGGCAAATGGTATATCGAATCATGAAGCAACATGACAAAAAGCAAATGTTATGGAAAATGCTGATTAAAAGAGGGTGCTACATAGAAATGACTCTCTTAGGACACTGCATCAAAAAATTTATCTCTGAGCTATCATAAAATGTGGAGATAAATTTCTCTATCTAACCTTAATAGTTATCTAACACCCTCTAATTAAACTAAACAAATATGTTACATGTTACCTTTTATCTAACACCTACAAGTTTGTTAACTACCACCATGAACTTAACCTCTACCAATACATTACATACCATCATCAATTAGCATCTAACCTAATATATACAAGTTTGTTACTTACCACTTTTAAGTATTATATATAAGGAGATGGTTCTATGGTGTTGAAAGTCGTCACTTATTCTCCTCTATTCAATTAGGTTTAGAGGCAGAAGTACAATAAATGGTAGAGAGAGGTATCGGAAGATAAGAATACTGTGGCTAATGTCATATAAGGGGTTTCTCAATTAAGCAATCAGCAAAGTTTACTGAATAGATGGAGGCGGTCATTGAAAGTCATAAGCCTTCTCAAGAGGAAAGTGGCGAATGTCACGGAGACTAGTGACCGTTGACTAGTGACTGTTGAGGTGGACCGACATAAAGGGCGGCAAGCTTTTTTCTATCTTAGATCAGCATAACCAATGGAGAAATCAAGCTCACGTTTGGAGAGGAACAAAGAGAGAAAAATAGAGAGAAAAAGGATTTTGAGGGAAAATTGTTGTATCATGTTTTTATCCCTAGACTAGTGGACAAATATAGTTCAGTAAGGCTATAAACGTAATTGGATCTCACAAATATAGTGCCGTAATTCCAGGTGCATCTCATCGCCCATCACCAATGCCAATCAACCCACAAGACCAGATGTCCATCAAACTAACATCGCTCGATGCTTGTAGCCAACCAAAGTCTATCAACATTCAATTCACACCATCACCTTTCTTCAAACTTGTCAGCCAACAACACCAGACATTCGCCAAATAATATCATCTGACGTCTACATCAACCAACACCAGCAGCTAACTGATGTCAACATTCCACAACAATCGTCGATTGATGCCAACCAACGGGATATGTGCAACATCCGTTGATTTTAATAATATGCCAGCAAAATACAAGGCCCTATGATTTCTTAGGTGATTTTATTATCTCATCAAAACATCAGAAAATTCTTAATTATTAATCATGCAATTTTTGAAACGAAAAAGCAAGCCTTACAGTCAGAATAAAATGGCAAGGAACTTTGTTGGCAGCCTGGATGCTAAGAAAGAAATTTAGCTAGCAGCGTGGATGCTTATGCAATTGATCAATAGTATTTATGTATCAAAACTTTTAATCAGATTCAAATATAATGCTACAGAAAAATAAATTATCGTGAAAACAAGAGCATCTACAAGACTATATCTATTCATATTATTGCCTTAATTCATACCACAAACCTAAGAAAAAGAATCATTAACGTCTAACAAATAGGAATGGTAACAAAGCCTAGGATGTGATGCTTCCCAAACATTCACATTATAACTTAAATCTCAATTATGACGTTAATGCATGCATCTGGTGAAAAGATGTGACCCACTCAATCAAAATAAGTGTTTAGCAAAGAAAAATAAGTTATTAACCTTAGAAATTGTCAATGCAGGGCTCCATTGTTCCTTTAAAATGTCCAAGCAAATACTTCCATTGCTATTGATATTTGGGTGGAACACTTTTGTCCTGAATGCCACCTGCAACATCCAACTCGAGTAAGTGAGCCTACCCATAGCCAGATTCACCATCAAGCTAGCAAATAAAAAAAAAAATTTAGTAGTGTTATGCTTCTTGGCAATCCAAGAAGGAAAAGCACCTTTAGAGTAGGTGTAGGCTCCCAAGAGAGGAGAGATTTCAGAAAATTATTCATCCCATGATCAATTTTTACAACAAGAGGGTATTTAAACTAATTGAGTAGACTGGTTTTACAATAAAGAACCGGTCTAGAAAACAAAAAGACTACATACGAGATTACAGAACTGTTCTATATAACATTAATGCTAAAATATGATGAAAGTTAAGAAATAAAATTAGTACTTGCTAGATAAACCATATGTGTGGACCTAATGGCCAAAATCATATTGTTTTGCTTTGGCCGAAGCTGGGCTACTGTCGTGTTCGAATTGTAGTGTCAATGTTGAATGTACTTGGTTCCTTCTTCTTCTTTGATAGACTTTTATATTTGTAGGTTGCTCTTCCATGATTATAGATCAAATTTCACACTATTTTTGTACATTTTTGTGATCCCTGTTGACCTGCATACCATATCCAAAGGAAACAAAAAAATAAGCTCAAAATCATTCCTTGCCCGACGGACCCAGGAATCCCGCCGAGACACTCTGCAACAGCGCCGATTCACGTCGAATCTCCGCACCTCCTGCGCAAAAACCGGCCTCGATCGCATCCCGGATCGTGCCTTTAAAACGAGAGGGCAACCCCCTCATTCGGTGCTCAC